TGACTGTTGGACACCCACCTCATTTTTTGTCAATCTACTTCTACCAGACCCTTCAAACCTCAACTCCGAAGATACATATTTTTTAAAGGCAACAGTCTTTGAAAAAGAACAGAAACAGTCGAAAGATGAATGCCAATGTTGAACAGTCTTTTAACTGGGAGGATAGTGGCATGTTGGGTTCTCTCCATATCCTCCAAATCCTGACTCTTGAGTCTTCTGTTGGAACTAGTGATGGGATGAAAATTCCAAGTATGGATTTTGTGATGCATTTAGTGTTGACTTGAATATTTGTCAGTTGGACATTTTTTCTCTCTCTCTTCCAGACAGGACTCCTGTGACTCGTCACTGTTGTTCTGTTAGTGCCAGGTGCTTTTCCATCACTCAAGAACATCAATAAAGCCAGCAAACCTCCAAGCAGGTGAGGTTATATCACACCTAAAACTTAATGCTTGGCCGAAATCTGAAGTCCACAAGATGAATGACAGACTTAAGTAAAAGCCGTTATGTACTTAACAGCACAAAAATTTTCCGTTACAAATACTGTTTTCACTCTTTCTTAATTTAAAAAAAAAAAATGCCTTAAGGGGACTTTGAATTTCCAAGCCTTCCAGATCAAAGATTTCTTCAGCTGTCTGAAATATAGGAATGTTGAAAAACAAAAACAAATCCTTTTCCTGCTATAAAATCCTTGCCATGTTTTTGTCTTTATGTAACTCAAAACGGCTGAACCTTTCAAAAAAAGAGTTTGGTGAGTTCTGCTCAAAACCTCAAAATCTCATCAGAAACGAAGTAGTTGATAATTTTGAAAATGTCCTTCTAATCAGTCTGTCCAAGTAATAAATTTTACTAAAATTTATCTTATTTGAAGATCCCCAAAATTGCTAAATAGCACTTGGAATAAAACAACTTAGGGCTCAGGACACCAAAATATTTTAAACTGTTCATTAAAGGGATTCAGGACCAAATTTTAATAATTAGGGCATGGTGACGGTGGTGGCCAGTATAATTTTCCTCTGATTCTGCACACGCCCTTGGCTATATGTGTCCTTTTGACAGCACAGTTGCCAAAAGGGCAAACTGTTGATTTCAAAAGCTTTTGCAGAAAGCATAGGCTTTTTGTAAAGTAGTCGTTGATAGTTGTGAGTTTGCTGCTGCTTTTGGTCTAAGGCGTGACCCTCCATGTAGGAGAGACAAACAGCTGTGAGCAGGAGGTGCGTCCTAGGCTTATCGGTTGGTATGGTAGACAGCCTAGCAGTTTACTCCCTGTGCGCTAAGTGCTCTCAGAGTTTCAGCCCTTTGAAAATGAACCCTTTTTGGCTTCGTCACTAGCGAGATATCATTATGCTCATATTAATTAAAAAAACACTACATGGCAAAAGTACGTGTCCCTATGCTCCCAGGGAGCAGCAGCTCACATTCCTGCCCTCTGACACAGAGACTTACGGCACTTTTTTGTGTCTAATGCATATTTGTTTCCAATTTCCTCCCATGTTACCTTAAAAACATTTTTTAAATACATTTATTTTCCTAATTGTTAGAAAGAAATGCACCTTAGAGGAAAAGCGGAAGACCAAAACAAGCAAAAAAAAAAAAAGATAAGAGTTTAAAAATCCCACCATTTGCATTTGCTTCATGACAATTTATATTTTGTTGCAGTTGCCTTGTGAGAATGTATTTACACACTTGAGATCATGCTGTGCATGGAATTCCTACTCTTTTCTTGAAAAGGGCCATTTTCTCATGTTGCTCTAAGTTTTCTATCATTCATCTTCATGAATGCATGCTATTCTATTATGGGATATATGACTTATAACCATTTTGGGGACATTAAGTGGCTTCAGTATTTTGCTAGTATAAATAATTCTGCAATTCACATCTTTTTTTTTTTTTTTTTTAAGTAAACTCTACCCCCAACATGGGGCTCAAACTCAAGAGTCACATGCTTTACCAATGGAGCCAGCCAGGTGTCCCTGCAATTCACATTTTCATACATAAAACTTTTCAATATTGCTCTGTTAGACAAAGACTTTAAGTTCCAGTCACAAACATTCAATTTGCCCTGGCTTAAGCGATAAAAAGGAAATGTATTAGCTTGCGGAGCTAAAGAGTTTGGGGTAGAGATGTGCTTCAGGCCTGGCTGGACTCAGGGGTTCATTGGTGTCTTCAGGAACACATCTTTCTGTTTCCTGGATCAGCTTCCCTTTGTGAGGGTTTCATTCTCAGGCTTGCTCCCTTACAGCCTCTGAGAAACAAGACAGCAACTATTTCCCAGTATTTCCATTGGAAGTCTCACAATTGAGACTCACTACCATGACTCGGGTCAGATTCCTTTCCCTGAGCCAGTCACCCGGCCCAGGACATCCTTCAGGACATCTCTGCTCCCTCTTCCATCTCACTCCCCCACCACCCTTGCTTTGCATACCTGGACCCTGATCTTTCTTGAAACCACCAGCCTGACCATGGCCCAGGGCCACGGCCTCACACACCCTTCCCTCCATGTCCCCGTGGCTTGCTGCCCCCTCACTTCCTTCAGCCTACACTCAGGACTTCCCAGCGGACTCTCTGTCCTCTCTCCATGCTGTGTCTCTTCAGAGATGTTATTACTCCCTGATGTCCTGTTACATATTCATGTGGTATGTGTTTGAATCATTTGTCTCCTTTCATGGGAACCACAATGGCTGTCTCTGTTAGCAGCTCTACCCAGCACTCAATAAATAATTATCAAGTGAGCTAATAAATGAGTTTGCCAGGCCACGTATGTACCCATCTGTAGGGTCGGCCTCCCCTACTAATAAGAAGTGCTTGAGGGAATACTCCGATTCCCCAAAGAAAATGGGTGGCCATCCCCAGGCCACGGGGACTAGATGCTGGACTGGCCAGTGATGCCCATGACAATTTGGTGTCACGTTCCGGAGCAACGTCCCAGGAATAGGACTTCAAAGGATGTGAGTGTTTTGAGTTTCTGGATGTGTATGCTAGCTCCCCTATAAAGATCCTCCTTGTGGCAGACGAAATCATCTTTCTTAAGTGCATACCAACTCATGTCCTGCCCCCGCTTAACACCGATAGCTCCCCATTGTACTGTGCATCAGGGAAGAACTCGACCCTGGCACCCAGGCCCAGAACAGTCCAGTCTCAACCTGGGCCCTCTGACCTCTCAGCCTCCAGCAGGCCCTGGAACCTGCTCCTTCTCACCTCAGGACCCTCATTACTTCAGCTTTCCTCTCTGCCGGGAAGGCCTGCCGCACTGCCGGACTGCTCCCTACTCTCTCTGCCCCTCAGGAGGCCTTCCCAGACCCCTCACCCAGCACTCCCCTCCCAGCTGCCCTCCCAGCCATCCCCCCACACTTGGGCATGTCTTCTACACACCATCTGCACGCTTTTTGGCACCTTATTTATTCTGTCTCTGCCTCTAGAATGTAGGTTCCCTGAGGTCCTGTTTCTCATTGTCATCTGTGATACTCCAAAATGCAAAACTGGTACCTGGCATATCAAAGGTCTTTAGTAAATTTTTGTTAGAAAATAAATTGCTCACCAAGAGGGTTGTAGTGATTAACTGAGAATGCTCATTTCATCTCATCTCCTGTTTAAACAGTTTTCTTAGAATACAGCTCAAGAGGGGCGGCTGGGTGGCTCAGTCGTTAAGCATCTGCCTTCGGCTCTGGTCGTGATCTCAGGGTCCTGGGATCGAGCCCCACATTGGGCTCCCTGCTCAGTGGGGAGCCTGCTTCTCCCTCTCCCACTCCCCCTGCTTGTGTTCCCTCTCTAGCTGTCGAATAAATAAATACAATCTTAAAAAAAAAAAGAATACAGCTCGAGAGATGGATTTATTTTTTAAAGATTTGAGAGAGTGAGTGAGAGAAAGCGCTCATGAGTGGGGGAAGGGGCAGAGGGAGAGAAGCCGACTCTCTGCTGAGCGGGGAGCCCAACTCTGACTTGGTCCCAGGACCCTGGGATCATGAACTGAGCCAAAGGCAGACATTTAACCGACTGAGCCACCCAGACGTCCCATGGAGATGGAATTTTTTTAAAAAGGTAGTTGTCAAAATTTATTTACTTATTTCTTTTTTTATTGACGAGGTGGAATTAGATGGAATTCTTGGAGTCCTCACTCCACGGGTCCTAGAGGAGAAGCAACGGGGCTGTTTTCAAAGAGATACCACTCCCATTTGAACAGAGATCAGGTGCTCTGTTCCAGCCAGGTATGTTACAAAAAGGCCCCAGCAGGGTTCCACTTTCCCATTTGGTTTAAGTACAGTCCGAATCTTCATGCTCCTTGTGTAAGTGGAAAAAAAAAAAAATGAGGCCTTTTTGTTACAGCTCAACTCAAGGGATCTTGTTACAGTGAGTAAAAATTAGTAAATTAATCTGCTCAGGTATTTGGGATCTGGTTAGGCATCATTTCTGTGCATTCCTATCCCAAATTATCCAGTTGTGTTAGCTTCTGATTGACAGAACCCTCTCTAATCTGTTCATTGTTAACATCAGAGTACATATATTTTTGTCATGAATTTTTTAAAGAACTTTAAAAAAAAAGACTTGCAAAAAGAGTTGACCTATATAAAAAGCATTTAATATAGAGGACACAAAAGCACCTTTTATCAGGTAAAAGTTCCTATGACATATATCAGATTACAGATTACACTCATCAAATCTCCCTTTACCTGCAAAGAATTCGTTTGAACACAAAATAACAAACTTTACGTCCCCAGTCTTCTTCAGACAAATCTTCAGCGTCAATCAGCTTGGGAATCACAATTAATTCAGCAAAATAATGATTGTGTTCTTCAAAAGAAAACAGACAATACAAAGTTTTCTAGTTTAAAAATAGCACCACTGGAGGAAGGGCATAGGTCTTTTAAGTGCCAAGTCCCTAAACAAGTGATTTACCACAATTCATGCAAACTAAACACGGAGTGGTTGATGTTTTGAACTTTCCTGTGATCGGGGGTAAAACACAGAAGTGAGGAAACAAAGCAAAACAGTAACTTTGGAGAATTAAAAGACACACACACACACACACACACACACACATCCCTGCCAGAGTGTGTTTCTCATTTTCCGCCCGTTGTATCACCAGTCAGCGACCTCAACCACAAAGGGGGTCTTCACGTCTATCTTGCCGCTATTGATGATGGAGCAGTCGGTGAGCGGACGGTCATGCCCGTCAGTTGCCTGGAGTTCTATGGAGTGGACCACGGTCTGGTGAGAGAAAAGCAGACCCCTGGTTCACTTCTCACCAGTAACTGTGGGGATCACAGGTGAAATCAATGCCTGGTCTGAAAGCCCAAGTAGGAAATCAGGTTTGTTGTTGTTGTTTTTGGTATGATGCAAAAGTCAGGCAAGCCAACTATGGAAAACTTAAAATATTCAGGAAATGTATATATAACAGAATAATGCTTACCCACCACCTTGCTACTGAAAGAACATATTTCCTCACTTCTTTTAATTAGCATTTTATATTCTAAAAATAATATTTTCATAAACACATAGCTCTAATAAAATGTATTTTACCCACTCTATACCCCAATGTAAGAGTTAACAGGGAATATGAATCAGCTTCAGTGATACCCTGTAAACGGTGTAGGCATAAGAACCTGGGTCAGAAAGTAGATTTAGAAGTGGAGCTAGTTCTGGGTTTGCCCATTTTAAAGCTGACCCAAGCCATTAATCTACAGGTGGAGTGAGAGACCCCAACCCCACAGTGGTGTGAAGGCTCTTTCTCTACCCTGGAGGGCTACACATCCCAGGTACCACCTGGAGCTTCACACTGAAGGAGGGAGGACTGGTCCAGACTAGGAATGATGGCTTCTGACCGGTTTCCCAAACGGGGCTGAGACAAAAATAGCAACAAGCTGTCTCTTTGCCTTGGACATGGTGCCACCTAACCCAATCACTGGCCAATTTAGGTTAACTTAAGATAAAAGACCAGCGTTCTTCTAATAATACTCATATATATTGCTAAACATTGTGTCTGTGCACACATGTACACATGTATGCCTAAAGCAGTGGCTACCCATCCGATGACCTGTGGAACATTTTAAAAAATGCTCATTTGGAGTTAAAGTGGAAATTTCTATGTATATTTTCCAACAGTTTTTAAAAATGCTTATTGGTGGGCCCACCTCTGGACGTTCTAGTTCTGTATGTCTGAGGCGAGTTCAAGAAAAGTGTAGCATTAACAAAGCAGCCCAGATGATGTCTGCGTTGGAATTCAGGAGATTCTGAAAATTCCTTGAAACAGCATAAAACACACACACATACACACAATTTTTTTCCTCCTGGAGAGAAAGTCTATAGTTTTCATTAATTTCTCAAAGAAGTCTAGGACTCATAAAATGTTCAGGACTGTTCCTCTAGGCCCAGGGAGCGGGTCTCCCAGGACGCAGCCCAGCGGGGGGGAAGGAAGTTGGTATGGTCAGGTAGGGCAAGAAGACAGAAGATCTAGAGAGTGAGAGGAAAAACCAGGACCAGAAGAAGAAACCACAACACTTGCACTCTTCACTTCTCTTACAGGTTAGCACGATGTATTCAAAAACACTCGTCGCATGAATGTTTGAACCTGGTTAAACTTTTTAAAACCCGGTTCGGTCCGCTGGTCAAAACCGCTAACTGATGGAGCACAGGCACGTACGTGCAGGTTTAGCTCACTTCACGGGCATCGCTCCGTAAGAGACTTGAGGAGTGCTGGCATTCATTACTGTGTGAGAATAGATGCCTCGAAGGACAGTTATGGCTCGTGAGAATATAGGCCTGTCCTTTATTGTGATAGGATGGGAAGTGATCTATGAAGTGATACGTGTCTGCCCTCGCTCCCTCTCCTCTCACTTGCCAACGAGAATCCTGTCTTTGGTGGCTCAGGCTGAACACTTCCTTTCCTTGTGAGGGAGGTTCTGAGTGGGTCAGCTCGGTTCCTGGCTTTTTGATGGGTGGAATTAGGATGGGGGTAGAAGCTGTGGAAGAATTGTCGCAAGTGAGCCTGGTTCACTTGCATTTGGATGGAAGAGACAGAACGGCTCACATGAAAATAAAAATGGGGGCACCTGGGTGGCTCAGTTGGTTAAGCGTCTGCCTTCGGCTCAGGTCATGATCCCAGGGTCCTGGGATCAAGCCCCGCGTCGGGCTCCCTGCTCAGTGGGGAGTCTGCTTCTCCCTCTCCCTCTCTCTCCGTTCATGCTCTCTCTCTCTCTGGTTCTCTCTCTCTCCCTCAAATAAACAAATAAAACCATTAAAAAAAAAAAAAAAGAAAATGAAACCAAATCAAATACGGAAGGGGGGTGGGTCAAGAATGGTCCATAGTTGGGTTGGGCAGACCTTACACCTGCTAGTTTAGGAGCTGGGAGAGCTTCTGTGGGCAGCTGCTAGGAAGGAGAAATGTTGGGAGCAGAGGAGAAGGATTTTAAGAAGTGTTTCTCTGGATTGTGAATTGGACCCCTGAGATACTCTTTGAGACATACCTGCAGGAATTTGAATTCCTTCCAGTAACTGTGTTTGCTCTCCTGACTGTGTCTTTGGAGGGGACTTGTTTTGGTATGCAACCATGTGGTGCTCGAGGGATTTTTTTAGTATTTTATTTTCAATTGTGGTAAGAAACCTAAATGTACCACCTTATCTATTTCTAAGTATACAGTGCTGTAGTCTTAAGTATATTCCCATTATTGTGCAACTCATCCGCAGAATTTTTTTTCTCTTGCAGAACTGCAGCTCTGTACCCACTGAACACCAACTCCCCGTTTCTTCCTTCCCACCGGCCCCTGGCAACCTCCATTCTACTTCATTTTACAGCTATTTGACGACTCTAGATACCCTTTAAAAGTGGAATCATACGGTCTTTTGTGACTGACTTATTTTACTCAACATATTCAAGGTTCATCCGTGTTGTAGCATGTGACAGGACTTCCTTCCTTTGTAAGGAATAATAATCTATTGTATGCACATATGGGGCCCGGGTTTTATTTGGGGACGTTAAAAAACGTTTCCATTTATATCAAGTAGTGAGATAGATTAAGCCCTCGATTTTTCCATGGCAAGTCTCCATCTTCCACCCCAGTGCTCCTCACGATTAAAATACCACACACAGTTCACCTTTGAAGAGGCAAGTCAGCAGAGAATGATGGACCTCTACCAAGCACATTTTAAGATTAAAATAAATCACTGAAGATACTCTCACTATAAATATAAAGTTTTGAATGAGGCGTAATAACATATCACATTACCATTCCATCAATGACTTTTCCAAATACCACATGTTTGCCATCCAACCAGGTGGGCTTCGTCAAGGTGATGAAGAACTGAGAACCGTTGGTATCAGGCCCAGCATTGGCCATGCTGACCCACCCAATGCCATAATGCTTCAGTCTGAAGTTCTCATCTGGAAATGTCTCACCATAAATACTTATACCTGGGTGAGACAAAATTAAAAGAAAAAAGAGGAGAATAACCAGATGTTATATGAAAGTAAATTCTTCAAAGGGAACCATAAGGTTTTTTTTTTTCTTCCTTTAAATTTTTATTGTTATGTTAATCACAGGAACCATAAGGTTTTAATAGATTTGGTTAATAGAACCCTATAGGACATGGGGATGGGGAAAAGATGGTCAAGCATAAGGAGAAATAAAGGAAGTGATAAATTGACTCCTTTGGGAAGCAGGGCACCAGAGACTCAGAAAAACACACAAAAAGCCTTAAAGATGGCACTGTCCTTCTGGCCTCAAAGCAAGACCCCAACCAGACAAGTCAAGGATTTCACTCGGAAATAAGCGCGGGCAGGATGACATCGTTAAGCGACGTGGAACGCGGGATGGGCCGTCTTACTGGTGCCATGTCCGTCCCGAGCTTCACGTCACTCCCGCCTCAGCACCCAACCCTGGTGCAAGCAGCACTTAATAAACACCCTTAGCTAATTCTCACAACCCTGCTGAACGGGTCTTCTCAATCCCACTGTAAATGAGGAAACCGAGGTTTCAGAGCGTGAAAACTGCGCCGCAGAACCTGGCAGTCACGTGGCTTTCGGACCCTACAGCGGCGGCTCCTGCCTGCGTCCGCGGCGGAGCCAGGGCAGCCCAGCCGGGCCGTCGCGAGGCACGACACCTTCCAGGCTCACCAGGCTACAGAAGGGCCCGGCAACGGGAGCGCCCAGCGATCCGACCTGGAGCGGAAGAGCCAGACGCGGCCATGGGGACCGGAGTTCCAGCTCAGCAGCAAGGAGCGCAGAACCCGCTTCTCCCCTAAGAGAACAGTACAGACCATGAGACGCGTCTGCTCTATCCTCCAACACATGGAATGCGTGTCATGCCGCCGCCTCCCTTTCTGCTTGGCTCTCTTCACCCATAGGTTGCCAACCTCGAAATCCTGGCTTGGCTGGACGGACCAGAAGTGGCTATCAAAGGCAGGCAATTTAGAGCGGACTGGTCAGTGACAGATGAGGTGTCCTGGAAGGAAAGCTCTGCTCACAGAGAGGTCTAGGCTGAACGTAAGTGACCCAAAAGGTCCTTCCTCCAAAAGTCAGAGAATTTTAACGCCAAGACCTGTGCGCGCACTTACATCGGTGCATGCGCGCGCGCGCGCGCGCGCGCGCACACACACACACACACACACACACAAACGGCAGGGAAGGCAAAGGGAGAGAGACACGTCAGAAACGAGGACACAGGAAAGCTCAGTTACTGCTCCTGCTGGGCCCCAGGGCAGGAGCGTGGGACGCCAGTGTCCAGGGCATTGCTACTGGGAGCTGCACACTCCTCCAGGGAGACCCAGCTCTGCAGCAGCCGCGGGGGTAGGGGGGGAGGGCTGCTCTCCTGGGCATCCTCCCCCACCCCAGGGACCCAAGTAACCTGACCGTGTTTCTCTGCTCCATTCTCTATCCCCGGACCCTGCAGCGTTTTTGCAAGGACTAAAAGTAATTCTCCTAAAGGCCCTGGCAAATCAAAGGGTTTAATGGCAGCCTTTTTGTTATAAGTAAATCATTGCAATAAACATAAAATTAGCTGTTCTGCTTGAAAATGGGCCCAAGGGTTTCTTTAAAAAGTTAGCAGTTTCATACCCATCAGAATATTTGCCGAATTAAAAATTTTAAACCTGAAGTAAATTTAAATCCTAATGTAGTTAGCTATAGCGTGTGTGCTCAGGAAAAGGACGCGCTACAGTTCTGAGGGAAAACAGCTCAGAGAGCTTGGGTATGTGCAGTCCCCCATGAGGAACAATCAGCTCAGGGACATGTGAGGGTCCATAAATTTAATTATTTGTGCTTCACGGAACTCTAACTTGGCTTATAAAAATGTATATTATAATTTTGACAACTCATTGATTACTTTTATTATTATTATTGAAAAAGCGGGCAACAATATGAAAGAATTTGGAAAAAAGGGGGTAAATCCACCTGCAATCCTGCCACGTCAACTCCGGTCTCTCCCTTCGGGCATGCTTTCCCCAGCCTTTCTCCACCACGTCCATGTCGGGAGCCAGCTGGCCCCCCAGTGTGCGCACACATTCGTATTCGACCTTTCCTTTCTGTGCCGGGCCTCTTTCCCTTACTGCTGCCTACTGGGAGTCTAGCATGTTAGTAACTGCACAGCCGTCTCCTGGATGAATATATCTCCACTATGGAAAGATAATGAACCAGAGCAATATTGTTTCAAGTGAGGAGGCCTCACTCATTTGTACCCGTAATGAGATTTTGGGAGATGAGGCCCCCCCCAAACCCTGTCCTTCTAAAGAATTAGTTTGGTGGTCATGAGGAATTTGTTTCATACGTCTGGGAATTCAACTCAGGGGGTGAATGCACGGACTTGATCTTGGGTTTCAGTTTGGTAAGCAGAAAAGGAGAAATACAAAAGACATGGTTACCGCCGGTGCCGTCCCCACTCGTGAAGTCTCCTCCTTGAATCATGAAATCTTTGATGACGCGATGAAATTTGCTTCCTTTATAGCCGTATCCTTTCTAAAGAGATTATGTCAGTTGAATATACGAGTAGATACAACCCATACTGCAAGATGAACCCCAGTGTTTACTTGGATGTGACTAAATGAGAAAATGACACAAACTACCTACCGAATTAGGTCCCTGCAACAATTTTCTGGTAGAAATTTATCACTGATGGACCCAAAATAAAGAAATAAATCAACTGTGGAAGTAGGATATTAATGTGAATAAGCAAAAAGAGAGCAATCTGCATTCTCACGTGCTGATTGCTTCCCCTCAATTTCTAGAACCTCGAGGACACTGAGCACCCAAAGAGTAAGATTTGGTAGGAAAATAAAGTAAAATATTGTAAGATGTCTCAGGTTCATCAGACCTGCTCAATCAACACTCATTTTCCCGGAAGACATCTTTATGCTGGGCTTCAAAGAAGGAAGACCCCCTTCCATGCACATTTAAGGGATCCAAAACTGAGACATACCTCCCCTGTTGCGAGTGCGACAAAATTTTCCACAGTCTTGGGCACAACCTTTCCAAAGAGGCCAATCACAATTCTGCCAACATCTTTGTCTCCAATCCTCACATCGAAGAAGACCTGCGTGTGGGTGAACAGCAGAGCAGAGGGTTACAACGGGGAAAAGCCTCGAGTAGGAGTGAAATGAAAGGTACAATCTGAGAATGCATCCAGATGCAAGAGCCCTTCCCCCCCCCAGCAGGTGACAAAGGAGCTCTACAACCATCGTGTGGCTGCATTCCACCTGTAAAAATGTTCATTCCGCCAACATTTAGTGAGCACCCCCTATGGGCCAGGCACCACACGGAGGCGCTGGGTTTGAAGTTTGACTCAGCTCGGTCCCTAGACAGCCAGTGAGGTCTCTGAGAACTCCACGCCCAGGGCAGCACTGCGGCGACCTCCCCCTTCCCAGCTTTGTGCTCTTCTGAAAGGTGATGCTCTTGATCTTGGCAGGAGAGAACAACAGGTAAGGAGAGATTTATTTTTTTGTAACTTCGACCCGTGCCCAATTCCCAGGGAGTGCTCAGCAGACACCTGCTGTCAAGGGAACTGCAAGACATCAAAACGCACAGCAAGTCCTCCGAAAGGCCTGCCACTCACTTCGGACTCCGTAAGGCTCCAGGTCCCCAGCCTCGTCCAGAGCCCCGACAGAGCCGTCTGCCCTGCCCACTCCGACGCCCAGCTCAGTCCTCATGCCCCCAAAGTCCTGCGGGGACACTGTGGTCTCTGCGGCATAACACGTTAGAATAGATGAAAGAAAGCACGTACCCAGAAGTGAGTGTGAGTCATGTTGTGTGCCGATGAACCCTACATGTTCCCTGAAACGAGTTTTAAAAAACTGTTTCATCCGAAATGAGATGATACACGTTTTGCTTCACAAATCACCGTGTTAGGATGACACAGACAGAATGCTTGAAAAGGCTATGGGGTCGAAGGGCATTCTATTAGCAGGTTTAGATGATATGAGCCAATTTACTGTTTGAATGGGTAAAAAAAAAAAAAGACATTCGAGAGATGGCTTTAAAAAATATAAGAAGGGTTGTCAAAGAAAAAAGATGTCTTACAGGTTAGAAAAATCATGAAGTAAAGACTGTCAAGCTTTAGCGCAAGACAAGAGCTTCTGCCAATACATCAGCCCGTCTGCCACGGGGTGATGTGATATTTAGTGCTCCGTGTGGCATTTTTGAACGTTCACATGGCCACAGCAGTCACAACTGTATTATTATTTATACAGCAGAACTTTATAGACTGTATCAAAGACCGTGCCCTGGAGATGAGGCAGTACACTTGAGGACGGTGCACTTGAGGGTGACAGTTTGGCATGGCCCGGGGACAGGCTGCCACAAGCTGGGTCACGCAGGGCTGGTGTTAAAGAGAAGCAGCTTCTCCAAAGGGATTTCCAAGCCCAGGAGTAAATTCAGGAACAGGGAATGATGAAGCAGCCCCGGGAGAAGAATCAGGGAACATCATCTTAAAGGAACACCATACAAGACACTAGAAACGCCTGCCAGACTTTTAACCTACAGAAGAGAAAATAAAGCCTGTGGATGTTTGGACAGCAAGAAGCATAAAACGCGGGAGAGCAACAGGAGAAGGCAAAGAAAAGGGGCCTGTCACCCAGCAAAACTCTTCAATAAAAATCTGCCATTCTGATGCGCAGCCTCACACACATACTAACACGATTTTTTCCCCCCAAACTTCAGGGTCCTTCCACTTCGTGACTGACAGCATGAAAATACAGCAGAGTTTTCCTGACTCCGGTGGAAATGAGAAAGTCACATCTTCCTGGGTCACAGGAACGCAGTATCCCCAGACTGGAGGGATGCTAAGGGTGAGGGAAGGCATCCTGGGGAAGGGAGGGGAGCGGCCTCCGGGACAAGAATGGGCATGAGCCCTACCGGGCAGGGTTCTTTCTGGAGCCAAAGCACCAGGGCAGGAAATGGGCTCTTTGTGCAGGGGACCCAAGGTGGCTGCCAGGCAAACCCTCTCCCACTGCCCTCTATCACCCTGAGAACGTCTCTGACTGCTTGCGTGCCCTTGGAGACAGGCCCTTTTCTGGACACGGGGTGAGGCTGCAAAGCCCCTAGCCGCAGGGAGTTTACAGTCCCAAAGAAAACACATATGTAAGTAGCTATAATATAATGGAAAATCTGGTCTTATAACAAGATAAGTACAGATGAAATGGATAGAGGTGATGATTATCTGTGGGGAATCAGGGTGGGCTTCCTGGCAGAGGTGGTAACTGGATTCCACACCACCCTTCAGGAGTAAGCTCAGTCATTTCTTTTTCCGCTGAGGGCTGCCTTTGAAAGTCATTTGAAAATGATGGGCCACTGGAGGTAGAGAAGAGAGGGAAGAGGAAGCAGTCACTCACACAGCCTGATCCTAACCCCTGTAGGGTTAATTCTGCTTCCTTCCATTTCCAGAGCAGCTAGGGCAGACGCCAAGTACAAGAGCCAACTGTTCTCACACCCCCGCTGCACCACTAACTGGCTACGGGACCTTGGGCAACTTAAGTCGACTCGGAGCTCCTGTTGCTCATCTGTTCCACAGATGACCCTTCTTTTCAGGGCTGCAATTTCATGGGAGCATTAATAAGGTAACATAAATAACACCAACAATTGACCTCTTAAATCATGGCTAAGCACTTCACCTGCTTTATCACATCTAATATGCAAAACAACAACAACAACAACAACAACAACAACAACAAAAACCCTGTAGGTAGATATTATCTGTCTCCACTTAAGGAGAGGGAAATGGAGCCTCACACTTTAAATCACCTGCCCCGGGGCACCAGGCCATAGCCACGTGGCCCCTTCATGCTCTAGAAAGTGCCGGCAAGTTGGGCCATGCATGAACGCAGCTGGAAAGATGGCAGCATTATTCTTTCTAGTCTACGTGCCTGACCTTGCCCAGAACGCCTGGCATCTGCTGAGAAGTGCAGGGTGGCAAATGCCTACTCGGGGGATGTTGAGACCAGTAAGCCAGAGCGTGGACCCGAGGCTCCAGGGCTGGCCTGCGCAGGCAGCTGAGGTGGTGGCTGCTTAAAACCCTGCTTAAAACCCAGGAGCTCTAACTGCACTTAGACTAAGACCTCAAATTAGAAGATTAACTGCCGCAAGACCTGCTCCTAACTGTGGCCTCCAAGGCCCTGCACGATTTTGCAGCTGCTGACCCTTCCAGCCTTATCTCAAGACAGGCCACCCACCCCTGGGCTGGAGCCTGTCCCCTCTCTCTGTCCTCCGAACACTGATGGCTTTCCTGGCCAGAGCCCTTGCGCATGCAGCTCCCTTCGCCTCCCAAGTGATGGCCAGGCTGGTCTTTCTTATCCTCCAGGTATTTTTAAATGTCACCCGGGCTAGAGATGGGTTTACAGTAGTCCCCGCCCCCTTATCCACAGTTTCCATGTTCCCAAGGTTCAGTTATTTGCCTTAACTGTAGGCCAGAAGCAGAAGGTTCTCCTTGTGAGCCGTGGTCAGAAGATGAGGAGGAGCCTAACACCTCAGTCACCTCACTTCATCTCATCAAGTAGACACTTTATCACCTCCCGCATCGCAAGAGGAAAGGTGAGTGCAGTAAGATATTTTGAGAAAGACGACATTCGTGTAACTTCTTACAATATAGTGTTATAATTCTATTTTATTATCAGTTATGATTGTTAAGCTCTTACTGTGCCTAATTTATAAATTAAACTTTCTCATTGGTATGTATGTATAGGAAAAAACATAGTATATGGGTTCAGTGCTCTCCTGGTTTCAGAATCTACTGGGGGTCTTGGAACTTAGCCCCTGCAGATAGGAGCGGTTTACTGTATGTTCTTCATCATTTTAGGAATGTTATGCTTACGGTTATATCCCGAGAGACCCAAATTGTATCTGCAGACTGAAAGACTCCGTCTCCCCCGCCCTCTCAGCTCTATGGCCTTCTCAAAACTAGATATGGCCCAAATACCAAGGGGCTGGGCAGAGAAGGAGGTGCTCAAAACAGTGGGGCTAAGTTTCTCTCTCTCACACACACACACACACACTAACTGCAGCCTGGTATGTTCATTCTCAGGCTACATCAGATGTCGGGGTGACCTCCCTCTCCGCATGGCCCTCATTGTCCGGACCCCCTACCCCAGCTGGGGTCTGTGGTAGAGGACTTAAACACTCTACTACTGGTTCAACAGTATCATTCCCACTGGCAAACACCGGACTTACTATTAAAACAACTTGCAGCTGCCCCTCCTTCCAGATTCCAAGACACTGCTGCCAGTGGGTTTTTCTAGAAGTCGTTATCAAGGGCACCAAGCATTCCCTCCCTTCCTCCCTCCCTCGCTCTGTCTCTCCCCACACCCTCCCATTATCTTCTAACCTGGGTAAATAGCTGGAAAAAAGCACCGAAGGTGGAGAGAGGCGGTCCAAGGCAGATTTCCCCGCCCCCCATTAGTCCCCCCGCCCATCCCCAGTAGAGATTAAAAGGCTGTGCGGGCTGGCACCTTCTCAAGCTCAGGGTCCAAAGTCTAAAAAAGTCCAAGTGTAATTAAGCGCACCTCTCCCCGCAGCTGGAAGACAGCCTCTCGCTACAGCAGGGTTCCGAACGCTTGCCCGGACAACCCCCCACCCCGGGCAGGGGCTGGCCCCGGGTTCCTCCAGGCCGTGTGACAGCGGTGGCGGCCTCCCACTGCACCCCCGCGGCTCGGAGCGCGTCTCTTCCGCCCGCCCCCGCCCGCATTCTTCCTGCATCCATTCCCGGGTCCTCGCCACGCCGAAGGAAGTACTCGGGCCGCCTCCTTCCTGGAGAAAGGGCCCACTGGTTCTGGAAGCTTCCTCCAGCCCCCCCCCCCCCCACCGCCCCGGGCATGTCACGTCGGACCACCCGCCCAGAGACTAAGTTCAAACTGCTCGGCCCATTGCCTCCAAGTCGCCCTGGACAGCGCGATCCCCGCGCGCCGGCAGCCCCCTCTTACTGAGCCCCGCGGCCGCGTCGCGTCCCCCGCGCCCGGGAAGCCCCCTCCTCGCCGCCGCGGACACCGAGGACCCAGTCCCCAAAGCTCTCCCGTCCCCCTAGCCCGCGCGAGGGCAATTTGCTGCCCGCCAGTCACCTTGGCCGTCACGGTGGGGCCTCGCCTGCTGACGCCCGAGGCCCCCGCAGAAGGCGCGAGGGCGCCGAGCCCCACGCAAAGCGCAAGAGGGAGCAGCAGCCGGGGCCCCGGGCCCATGGCGAGCGGTGGCAGTGGCGGCAGCGGCTCGGGCGCCACCTCAGCCTCCGGGACTGTTGGCAGGACTCCCGGGCCGCTGCGCCTGCGCGCTCCCGGTTGTCGGGGGGGAGTTGATGGGATGAGGCGGTCGGGGCAGGCCGGAACCTGGGGCGCGCTCCTCCCAAGTTCAGCCCAGCGACCGGCCAGGGACTGGGCGAGGCGCGCTGCGGAGGCCGAAGCCCGGGCCGACCGACGCTCCAACGGCGGGGGCGTAGGACGCTGGGGGCCGGAGCAAGTCCGCTTGGCTGGGGCGCGGTGCCCCAGAGAGGCGCGGACGCTTGGCGCCCTGGAGCTGCGGGGTGCACGCGGGGCATCGCCGGCAACTCACCGGCGTAGGCGCGTGTTAAACCTGGCCGAAAGTTCAGGACTCTCGGCGCTCCGAGTCTGCGGGGCACCTTGCGCGCTGCGGGGCGGAAGGCTCTGCAGACCAGTTCGCGTCTGTGACCGCAGCTGCCCTTGGAGGAGCCCCCGCCGCACCTGTCAGGTTCATGAGAGCTCATCGAAGACTTTAGCCTAAAATATTGGACGCCTCTCAGAGCTTTGGGACCCCTGGATGGCTTGACTCGATTCCATGTGATGAGTGACCCTTCACTGAGATGATTCAAGTTGGAGATAAAGTTTTTACCAACTTATGAATTGGGTTTAGGAAGATGATTTAATGATATGGGAAAAGTTCGTTGTATTTTTTAATGGAAACTCAGGCTGCAAAATCATATAGAAATTTTGATTCAGCTGTGAAAATAAATACGTAAAGCCTTTTTTTTTAATGGAGAGAAACGTACCAAAACATTTACAGAAACTATCGTGATAGAATTATGGATTTTTGCTTTCTTTGTAATTTTCTGATTTCCCAGGTGTTCTATATTGAGGATGTAAGTATTTTATAATAAGGAAAACGTTATTTTAAAATTCAGTGCTTTCCGAATTAGGGCTTAAAACTTTTTAATGCTAGAGTACTAGCTCCAAAATTAACTACAAATTAATAATAGTATTCTCTTGGTTTTCTGATTGGCTGCCATGACCTTCAAGCCAAGATTTTCCTTGGGTAAGCAGATAGGATTCCTACGTGTAAGCATAGATCTAAAATTACACTGGAACCATTTCTTTTTTTTTTTCTTTTAAGATTTTATTTATTTGAGAGAATGAGTTGGGAGAGGGACAGAGAGAGAAGCAGACTCCCCACTGAGCAGGGAACCCCACGCAGGGCTCAATCCCTGGACCCCAAGATCATGACCTGAGCCAAAGGCAGATGCTCAACCCACTGAGCTGCTCAGGTGCCCCAGAACCATGTCTTATATATAAAAGGAGTGACTGCCACTTTGGAGGGATGGGTAGAACACATCCAAACTACTTTGATAATTCAGTCCAGTGAAAGATCTAAAGGCTGTCCTCATAACCTCCCACCCCCAATAAAGAGTATTCTCTATTATATATATATATGTTATTCTTTCGTAGCGATCTAAGGATATCAAAGCACTTATCCCACTAAGTGATTGTATGTGCTTTTCTGTATTCATTACTCTAATTGTTTTTGTCTGCCTCTGTTACCAAAATGTAAGCACCACCAGAACAGGGAGCATACCTGTTTTTATCCCTGCTGATGACCCAGATCTTTCAGTGTCTGGTATATAGTGATTTCTCAGTAAATATTTGTTCAGTGAATAAATGTGTCTATCTACGTACTTTTTAAAAATCACTATTGGGGAGATTAATACAAATAAAGAAAAGTGCACAGAATGTAAATCAGTGAATTATCACAAAGCAAACACAACGAAAACCACACCTCCCCAAAGAAATGAATATTCAAGAACTCCCTGAAAACTCCTCTTGTACCCACTCCCAATTACTAACGTTTTCTTTTCCGCAAATTAACCATAATCCTGACTTCTTACGTCGTGGTTTAGTTTCTTAACTTCATATAGATGGAATCTTACAGCTTGTATTCTTTTGCTCAGATTTATGCTTGTGAAATTCATCTGTGTTTTTGCACATAGCTATTTTGGTGCACAGCACAAGGTAGGGGTCAAATTCCATTTTTGGGGGGGGATATCTGCTTATCCCAGCACAATTTATTGGAAAGTCTCTTCTTTACTGATTGCTCTGTAATGATATTTCTGTCATGGAACAAGCGTCCCTGCATGCCTGGATCTGTTTATGGGCCCTCTCTTCTGTCCCACTGGCATCTTTGTCTGTCTTGGTACCAGTACCACATTGTCTTAATGAAAATAGCTTTATAATAAGTCTTCATTTTTAGTAATGCAAGTACTGTCACTTTGTTCAGCAGATTCTTGGCTCTTCTTGACCCTTTCCGTGTCCATATAATCTTGAGAATCAGCTTGTCAGTTTCCATAAACTGGGATTTTGATTAGGATTGCATTGCATCTCTAGATCATTTTGAAAATACTTAGCATATTTGTAATATTCCGTTTCATGAGCATAGCATATCCCTCCATTTATTTAGGTCTTCTTTAATTTCTCTCAATAAGATTTTATACTTGTCTTCCTAAAGGTCTTATTCATATTTTGCTAGATTGACTTCAAGGTATTTGGGGTTTTTTTGTGCTATTGTAAATTATACCTTTTTAAACATTTATTTTCTTGTTTGTTGCTATTATAGTATAATTAATTTTGTACATTATTTTTGAATAAACCAACTTTGTTAAACCTATAAATTCTAATAATTTATCTGTGAATTATTTAGGATTTTCTACATAGTCAACTATCATCCATGAGAGTTTTATTTCTTCCTTTCTAATCTTTATATGTATTTCTTTTTCTTGCCTTATTGCATTGGCTAGGACCTTCAGTACAAAAGGATGAAACAGTGGGGGGAGTCATTGTTTTGTGGGTTAAGTTGTGTTCCCCAACAAGATATGTTAAAGTCCTAAGCCCCAGAGTCTGTGAATGTGACTGTAGTTGGAAATAAGGTCTTTGCAGTTGTAATGAGTTATGATGATGTCATACTGGAGTAGGGTATGACTGTGACTGGTGTTCTCATAAAAAGAGGTGAGATAAAGACATACACAGAGAAAATCACCATGTGAAGGCAGAGACAGAAATTGGAGTGATGCATCTAATGCCAAGGATCATTGGCAACCACCAGAAGCTAGGAAGAAGCAAGGAAAGATCCACCCCTAAGGCCATCAGAGAGAATGGGGCCCTGCCAATGCCTTGATTTCAGACTTGTAGCCTCCAGAATTTTGAGACAATAAATTTCTGTTTTGAGCTGTCCAGTTGGTGGTACTTTGTTATAGCAGCCCTAGGCAACAAGTAAACATGTCTTGGTCCCAATTCCAGGGAGAAAGCTTTCAATATTTCACCATTAAGTCTGATATTTGCTGAGGTTCTTTTGGGAATGGATATCATTTTTCAGCTTATGAAAATTCCTTTCTAGTCCTAGTTTGTTAGGAGTTTTTGTGATGAATTTGATCAACGTCTTCTATTGAAGTCAACTGAAATAATGTTTCCCCTCAGACTGTGAATGTGGTGAATTGCATTGATTTTTAAATCTTAACCCAGTGTTGCATTCTGGAATATGCCCAACACGTATTGGCCTTTTTATATATGGCTAGATATGGTGTGCTTATTATTATTATTTTTTTTAACAAACTTACTGAAAACCGGGAAAAAAATGCATTTCTCCTGAGGTTTGGGGAAAAAACAATGGGTAAAGTGGCTCTAGCTTTCTAGTTGATAGCAAGCTGATCTTTAACATTCCATTTTTATGTTAATGGATAAGTTTGCAATTCTTATTTTCAGGATATCTGCGTCTACTCATAAGTCAGACCAGCCTGAAATTTTCTTTTCTTGAAATTTCCTGCCAGTTTTTATATCAGGGTTATTCTGGACCTCTTAACAGGAGTTGGCAAATGGTAGTTGTCCTTCCTGTGCTCTGAGTGAGTTTGGGCAAGATTGACTTCATTTCTTTCTTGAATGTTTCTTAGAATCCCCCACAGCCTGGAGTTTTCTGTATTACAAAGCTTTAATTATAGGTTTAATTTTTTTAAAATAGTTGAAGGATTATTTAAATTTTCTATTGTTCCATCAGTGTTTACATGGATATTTTGAGGAAAATTTCTCTATTTCATTTATATTTTAAAATTTGCATGTGTAAAGTTGTTTAATACATCTTTTTATAATCTTATAGGGCTGGAAGACTTAGAGTCATGTCTTCTGTTTCATTCCTGACATTGTTTATTTCTTTTTCTTTGAACAGCTTCACCAAGGGAGCTGGTAATTATATTTATTTTCATTTCATTAGCTATGTTCTTAAATGTATTATTTCCTTCCTTCCATTTTCTTTTGTTTAATTTACTGTTATTTTTTTCTGTCTCCTTGAGATGGACTCTTTTGTCTTTCTTTTCTTTTTTTTTTTTACTCAGTAATATGGATTTACATCTCCTCTGTGTCTTTTCATGGCTTGATAACTCATTTTTTTTATTGCTGAGTAATACTCCATTGTATGCTGTTTCACTGTTTGTCCATTCACCCAAGCAAAGGAAATCTCTTTGTTGCTTCCAAGTTTTTGACAGTTATGAGTAAAGCTGCTATAAACATCTGTGTGCAAGTTTTCGTGTGGACATAAGTTTTCAACTCCTTTGGGTAAATACCTAGGAGAGTAATTACTGGATCATATGGTGAGAATATGTTCAATTTTGATTGAAACTGACAGACTGTCTTCCAAAGTGGCTGCACCAATTTGCATTCCCCCCCTTGAAATAAATAACAACTCCTGTTGTTTCACATCCTTGGCAGCATTTGGTGTTGTCAGTGTTTTGGATTTTAGCCATTCTAATAGGTGTGTGGTGGTAGTATTTTACCTTTTAATGTTGTGTAAGCGAAATTCTCTTTTTTTTCTTTAAAGATTTTATTTATTTATTTGACAGAAAAAGAGAGACAGCGAGAGCAGGAACACAAGCAGGGGGAGTGGGAGAGGGAGAAGCAGGCTTCCCGCGGAGCAGGGAACCCGATGTGGGGCTCTATCCCAGGACCCTGGGATCATGACCTGAGCCGAAGGCAGATGC